AAATAGAGCCGCCCCGCCGCCGGGGGCCGGGCCGGGCGCTGCGGGCAGCGGGGAGGCCCGGCGTCACCTGCGGGGGGTGGGAGATGGGTTACGCTGCGGGCTCGTTTGCCTGTAGACCGGAGCGCGCGGCCCCAGAGCCCCGGCGTGGCAGTGGGCCCGGCGTTAAGGTGGAGCGCGGCCGAGGAGCGGCGGAGGCACCTTAAGGCGCCCGAGGGCTGTCACGGGGACCGGCGCTCCCCCGGGAGCTGCGCGTGTCCCTGCAATGGACGGCAGCGAACGGCTGGCTCCCGTAGGGCACTGTGAGCATCAATTCTGCTGCACGCACACGTATTTGTATATATATACATCTGTGCTGAATACGAGGAAGCCATGTACCTCTCATTGTGATAACACAATTTGCCTTTTATGTACCAGTCCCAGTTGAGACTTTAGGGAAAGCACAGGTGCTGCTTGCTGTCCTCCTCTCTTCTTTGTGCCCGTGGCTCTGGAGGTGAAACCCGTGCAGTGTGTAGTGCTTCGCACCACCCCTCACCTGCAGCTTCCTCTGCAGCCCTGCACCTTCCTTTGGCTGAAGGCAGCCAGAGCCCTGCATTTGCACAAGCCCTGCGTTTGCACAAGCCCTGCAACATTTGCACAAGCACTGGTATTGGCATACACACTGTTGTACAGAGGATGTGGGCAACAGCTGCCTGAGAATAACTCGTGAGCAAGAGCAGTCATAGAATCATAGATTCCTTAGGGTTGGAAGGGACCTCTGAGAACCATCTAGTCCAGTTCCCCTGCAATGAACAGGGACAGCCAGCCTGGAGCTGCCTCTGTGCTGCCACAGGGCTCAGTAGAGCACCAGGGCTCCTCACTAGGCTGTGTTCAGACCTTTTGGCCATGCCACCCAGCTCTAGCAAGTGGGCCTGGGCCTTTCTTGAGCCCTTGGAGATACGGAGCCTGAGCTCTCCAAGACTGGGTGAGTCCCTCTTATCTCTCTGATGGAGGGCCCAGCCTCATACCAAATGGTGTATTATGAACCGCCACGAATGCATTCCGCAAGCAAGCTGGCCCTCTTTGCCTGTAAATTCTTCACTAATCTTGCTCCATCTGAAGACATAAAAAAATGAGCCCAGAATAACCCCCCTAGGCTTTTCTGACTAAACCATGGGACTGAGACACTTTGTTGATGTGAATCAACAGCTTGGATGTTAGGATGGGGGGGGGTTGTCAACAGCAGTCTTAGGTTTGCATGTGAATTCAGTGCAAAACTGCACTCTTGTTAGCTGCAAATTTTCTTTCCTGGACAAAAATCCTCTCATTTTCCTGAAGACAGACTTTTGTTGAACTTGTTAAGCATGCAGTACAGCAATGGAGATTCCCAGCTCTGAGCAAACCTTGTCCCTAAATGCTGGGACACTGCAGGCTTGGCACCAGTAGGCCAGAGGCTTTGGGTTTACATCTTTAAATCTGAGCATCCAGATTTCTATTTGGGCATCTTAAACAGATCTCTGCTCAGAGCTGGTAAATTTCTGCTCACATGCAGGTACCTCTATTCCCAAACAAGGAGCAGACCAACATTTGGACACCCTAATCCTAAAATTTTACTGTGTTTCATATCAGTGTTAACAACACTCAAGAGAAAATGCCAATGGCCTGACTCCTGGCTATCCCTCCATTCTCTAGAGTCCTCCTGCCCATACTGAAATTTTGTAAGAAGGAAAGCCAGAAATCCCCATTTCATCTTTCAATTCCAGCCAGAATCTGGAACAACATTAAATGTTTTGTAGTGCATATTAGTTAACATTGCTACGGGGGAATTGTTGCTGTGGTTGAGCTCTTACACAATACAACTTCTATTTAAGTGCATTTTTTGTATCCTGCTGAGTCACCCCAAGTAGCCCTCAAAGAAAACTTTCAGTTTGGTTTGACAGCAGACACACTGTCAGGAAGAGCCCTCCCTGGGAGGATGCAAGTGCAGATTGGGCAAAACTTCAAACTTTATAGAAAACTCAAAGAAAAAAAAAAGCACCTTAAAATATTAGCCCACATTTTCCCCATACAACTTCAGGTGAGATTTCCAGCCTGGTTCAACATCACTCAATAGGATTAAAGTGACATACAGTCTCTTAACTATTCAGGTCAGGCTGTACCTCAGACCTACTGTCTCTAAGGGAATGTATTGTCTAGGTAGTGTAACATTTCACTACTAGGGCTAAATAAACAGCGTGACTGTTTATTGTTCATTGTTAAAGGTGTAAGTGGTTGCAGCAGAGAAGGCGGAGAGTGGACCTTGGGTGTTAAATGTGGAGATGGGCACAAGGAGACCAAAGGCAGAGCCCTACCTGATGGTTGTCTCAGATGAGCAGCAAAGGAGATAGTTGAAGTGTACCTACGACGTGTCAGATGGCTTCAAATCTGTGTGAAACCAACACCTTTCTAAATCACACTGCAACTCCAGTTGGTAAGAGGTATTAGAGCACTCCTTCAGGCTATGGATGAGGAACATCATTGTGCATCTATGGACTGGGAACTATTGAACTATAAATACACAGCTTCAACAGCTGAGGTTCATTTCACTGAATTTGTGTGTGGTGCTTGGCATGGACTGAGGTAAAGCTACTTAGCAGTAGAGGACATCTAGTGACATTCAGATGTAACTACATAAACCCGGTAAAAGTTCATGTGTGACTGTTCAGAAGATGCTATGGCTAAAGATGGGATTTAGTGTGGCTCTGACAGCTGCAGGAGGGCTGTGAGAAGCTGACTGTACAGCACACACTATAAGCAACCCATTAAGAAAAAGCCACAGAGAAGCTTTATATATGTACATATGTGTATAAATATATGCACAACATACATGGAGAGCATAGGCAAAAAAATATTGGGAGCTGATGATGATACACCATTTAACAGGGTGATATTACAGGGAAGCACAGCTTTTTAATTTCTGCAGCCAAGACCCTGTAAGCAGGGAAACAGAGATTAAAATCAGTCATTTTCTTTCAGGACTCTGCTCTTATCTCAATTTGCCTCTCATGTGACTCACCCTGAGCACACACTACAAATATCAGCTTTAAGATGAAGATTCTTTTTTTCTCTCCAAGAGATGAACTCTTTCTCCATCCTTTTTGCAGCATGCTTTGCAGAGTCCTTCACCTCTTCCAGGTTATTTATAACAGGAAAATCTCTGGAAATATTTTTCCATACATATTCCAGGCCTAGGATGAGGAATTCAGCTTCAAAACTGGCAATTTGCTTTCTAGAAAGACAAAGATCAGCAGAGCTGTGTTCTGGAAGAACACCCTTTCCTAAGTAAACTCAATTTATCTGACACTTCTTGTGAGTGAAATTATTCACTTTAAGATCAGCATTAATTTAGGAGTAAGGGGTATATATTTGAGACTTTATTTCTTGCACATATTTCCACACCAGACGCACTCAGTTTGCAAGGGTTGAGGAGAGGTGGAACTTTATTGCTCCTAACAAAACTCTTTTTTTTAATATAAAAAAAAGTACATTTCTGTGGGCTAGACTGGATTCTCAGGACTAGCTGTACAAAACTACAGTAGGCAACAGTTTGCAGCTCAGCAAACAAGTCTGACACAGGAGCAGGGAGGTAGCTGGCCATTAAATGATGGCAGCAGACCAGGACTGGGAGTAAGCTCTGATTGGTGCAAGCACAGAGCGACCACAGCCCCAGCGAGTAGCAAGACAAGATTTTTTTCTCTTGCCGAATCATTTCTCAGGGCTGAATGGCACATTGCAGTCCTAATCCTAGAAACTCTTTCCATGAGAACTGATATTATTAGTTGGGTGTGCAAAGAAACGTGTTCAAATTGTACAGGTCTGTGACAAAGAGCCACAAAGACGAGAGAAAAAGAACAGAGGAAAAGGCTGTATTAGCTAAGATGACATTGTAACAACTGCTGGTTCTTGCATTCCTTGTGCATTTGTTTTATTTATCAATGGACCCTATATTTAGCCATCATAAGATTCGTGTGCAGAGCAGCCCCAGCTCCTTGCTGGCTGAGGGGCTCTCCCAAGGGGAGCTGGTGGCTAGCAGAGGCTGGCACAGCTCTGTGCTGTGCCATAGCTGCTCGCACAAGGCAAGAATCATTTCTCCAGCACACTGAGTCATTATAGGAAGGAGACCAAATTTTACCCAATTTCCGAGAGCAGAACAGCTCTAAACCTTGTGATGAAACAAAAGCTGGCAGAACACAGGCTGTTATGTAGCAGGCAGGGAGGCCACTTGAGGCACATGCAGGAGGTCTTCAGATGAGCATCAGTAAAGGACACTTCAGAAGCTGAAAGCTGCTGGTGTTGAGCAGGAAAGGCACAATGCAGCTGCTTCAGTACTGGGAGACTCAGAAATGATGTTTTTTAA